TCCTTCCAAACTTTGGCCCTCACTTTCGAGGTGTTAATGAGGAAATATGCCTAGCCTCCACTTCGGACTCGTTCAAGAGGGGGATAATTTTCAGAAGATGATGATGCGATCACTGGGACAAGAAGTTTATTTGCCTGACGTTTCGGATTCTCACTCGAACCCATCATCAGAGACATTCGCAGATAGAGGGGATAATTTTGTTATCACAGTGAACAAAAGGCACCTCCTAAAGATGAATGCATTTAAGAATTTAAGGAGTAAGTGGAAAAACTATTTGGCACAAATTTCATGAAACCGAGGTGTATGATGGATTATTTCGATGACATAGTTGTAAGCACTCTCCACCTAACTTGTCACTTTATCAGTATTTGCCCATCTTTCTGGACTCATTTTATGGAGTCCTTTAACAAGGTTGTCTACAGCGGGGGCACACGCGCCTCCTTTATAGTTCTGGGTCGTAGGACCCCATTAACGGGGACTGTTTCTATGCGGCTCTCTCCCAAATCTGATTCCCACTCCCCTGATGCACCCTCAACCCGCAAAGAACGGAACGTTACTGCTTATGGATGGAAGCGAATATGCGAATCCCAGGTTCTTGTTGTAAAGAAGATGAATAAACGATCTCTGGAAACTTAACTTTACTTACTCAACTTTCTCAGAGAAGGCTCGAGGACCTCCATCAATTCGGCCTCCCAATTCCTGGCCGACATCAGAGGAAAGGTTGTCCGACCTGATAAGATTATGGTGCCCTTTTACGTGGTTCCATTATTCACATCCATCCCACCGAAACTGGAACGTGACGTTCTTCGCGAACGACTCGAAGAGAATTACGACGAAACGAACAGACCCCTAAAAATCGACCGCTTACTGCAACTCTTTGCTTTCTGCCGACAAACCTTTTTCACCTTCTGTGGCAGAACATACAGGCAGATCAAAGGAACACCGATGGGTCCGCCAGTATCCAGCTTGGTTGCAGAACTTATCATGCAGGAGCTGGGAAAAGTCGTCTTCGACCACAATGAACCTGCATTTTGGCGCCGGTACGTGGACGACACGTTCGTTATAATTGAAAGGAGCAGACTGGCCGACTTTCAAGACCTGCTTAACGGCATCATCCTGGACAAGGAAAGAAGAGCATGCCGAACAACTGCCTTTCCTTGGCGCTGCCTCCGCACGCGTCCACGACGAACAAACGGATGGGAGCCGTCAACACTCTGTCACCCTCTACCACATATAAAGAACGTGTCCGAAGCGATGAAACGTACCGCTGAAGAACTCGACGTGGGTATCGCTCACCGTCCGATAGCGACCATGCGCAACATAATCATGCGAGTGAAGGACCGACTAGAAATGAGAGAACAATCGGGTGTCGTTTATCAGATCCCATGTCGGGACTGCCCTCGCCACTACACAGGACAGACCAGACGACGACTTAGCTAACGAATAATGGAGCATAAACGGGCGGTCCGGAGAGGCGACCCGTTGTCACAGGGCGCCACTCGCACCCTGGAGGAAGGCCACGAATTCAACGTCGCGAGTACGCGGATAGTAGCGCGGGCCAGCAATAAGACAGGGCGAGAACTGTTGGAGGCCTAGGTGTCCGACGCCAACTCTATCATCAGACAAGTTGACATACCGCCCTGCTATCACGCGCTCCGTTCCCGCGGCCAAGAGGCGAGACCCAATTTCCAGCTAAGGGTGCACGCAATCACGCCGCCGTAAGACGGCGTGGGACTCAGCTTATCACGAATACCCCCCTCTGCACTCATACCCCCCCTTCATGGCTTGACTACAAAAACTGTTCATTTGATGCCGCTTTCTCACAGTCTCAGAAGATGGCCTCCTGTAAGAGACCGAAAGCTGAGACTAATACACCTACTGTCCCAGAGATCGTTTTTTCATATCCCTTACCGCATATTTTTCTTCAACAGTAGAGGGATAGTAGGTTCGCGGGGTCGGGGATACGAGATTAAAGAAATGACTAGGCATTGAAAGACAGGCCTCTGCCGCAACTAGAAGTCCACACAAGCTGCAGAGAGCAAGTGAAGGGGTTTTGATCCGCGTGTATTTTTGGTAAATGCACATTTCTGTATTACGGTTAAAAACTGACCAAATCTACTATTACACCCATCTGGAGAAAGGCCTATCTCAAAGTGGACGTGAGAAGCTCACTAGAAGGCCGCCATTCAGACTCCACTCACTCCACTTTAGGGGTTTAAGGGTGAAATGCCTAACTTGAGTTCTTAATGGACTCTGATGATGTTGATCGGAAGACTACTGATGTTCGCGTGATTTTTGTATGTTGTTGGCCCTAGAAGACACTTCCCCCTCTGGGCTCGTCCTACCATACTCGTGCAATATCCAGATTACCATCTGCAAACTGCGAATTCCTCACTCGAATCGCATATCCGTTTATCTATGCTGTGTTATAACTTGACTTCTAAAGAAGTACAAATGATACTTTACATGGAGCTCAAAACTCACCGGGACGATAGTCGCTCTGTATCATCTTCGACTGAAGGCCATAATTGTCTGTTTTAGGCTGACGAATACTGGCGTCGGATTCGAGTTCTGACCTGGAAACGTATCCAGCTGAAGGAGCGTGAAATGATTGGAGAAGAGCGCCACTTCAACGACGGATTTTTTGAAGTGGGCGGCACATTGTCAGAGAAGCTCGGTTATCTGAATGATCACGGCATCAGTCGGCAAAAAATTTCCAACATACTTGGCTTCAAGGCGGACTGAAGGGAAGAGCACTGGTTGGGCGCCGAGTCACTCTGCCGCCGATGACTATTCGATCCTTTTTTAATATTCTCAGGCCGCTTACTCCCCAGCCCGGTATTTGCTTTGTATGACAATAAGCTAAGACTAAACGTTTTTTTATACAAGAAGTACGTGGTGAGGTTATTCGTTCAAACTCATCACTATCTTTTCTTCCACCTGGATTCAATAAATTCTCTTCCTTCGATGTTATTCAGTCGTGATGACCTTACACTCTGTGACCTCAGTTAATAGCGACAAGCCGCTTCGAGAGACATCAAGTTCAGTTCTCCAAGCTTCCTTGTCGTTATTTTGTTTTGGCATTAATCGGAGCGGCGGTTGGAGTGGTGCTTGGGATACTAACCATAACAGTTATCTCCGTGATTTCACTGTGATCTTGTTAATGAGATGTCTTCGACCGCAGTGCACTTGCGGTTAGGTTAGAGACCACGTGGAAACTTTTCTGTCTAGAAACCATGGTCCATGTGCTCTTCAATGACCCGGTGCTCATGTATTGACTAACGTTTTACGTTAAAATGAAATGAAAACTTCAGAGTAGTTCCATCGAAGGTTCAAACACCAAAACGTGTTTTGCCCATAAATGAAAAATAGGGGATTTACTTGTCCTCAGAGCAAAAAAATTACATCAGTTCTCATGGGAGAGCCGCGGACTTCTGGTTTTAGATTCCCAGGTTGCATGTAATTTAATAAGGATTCTACTTTAGCTCGAATTGGGAAATATGTTTTATCGCGAACGATACTGTATTATCGCTCAAGGGTTGTTGACCCATTACAGTAAGTAGGAATGATGGAAGCCTGAATCAGGGGAGCAAAAACTAAAAAGTTGATTTTTTATTGCATAGATGAGACGAGTCCAGCAATGCACTCAAAAGTGTTACCAACAAAAAATAAGGATAAGAGAATGTTGGTTCCACGCTTACCTGCATTCATCCGCCAGTGATAACCCAACCTTGGACTGCGGGAACCTTTATAGATAGTCGCACAACATCGACAACATGCATGAACACTTTTTTTATCGATAGGCTCGGTGTCTCTTAATATGGAGGGATATTTTGCTGCGTTTCATGGCAATTGGAACGACAAATTTCATTTCATAACTGGCATCCGCCTTTGCTGGAGCAACCGGCAATTTACCCTGACGAAAATGCCTAAGCTGACAAATGTGGAGTTTTGATTGCATTTACTACTTATTTCCAAATTATCTGCTGGCAGTCGGTCTGCCAACATCCTAGCCGGGGAAATATTATCAAGCCACTGAAATACTTCTTATTTTCAGAAACATTTACAACTAAGCAATATGAGTCACGACGCAAGAAACCTCAGAAACATGTTTATTCGGTGTATTCTTCATGATTGAGAATACTCATTGCCCTCTCAAAATACATTAGATACAACTCGGAAAAAATTTCATATTTTGGCACATATTGACAGTAATTTGTGTTTATATATTCTCATGCAGTCCATAGCATTACAGTTGCAAGGGATGTTATCCTGTAAGACTTACGCGATGATTTAGTTTTCTAATGAAATTATTTCTAACCTACCGTCTGTTCACAACTTACCTTTTCTGCTTATTTGTATGCAAATTCAGCGATCAGGCACAAAAAATTGACAGGACATCTCGTTTCCTGAGATTTATCTGTTTGTTTTTGTCGGAAGAAATTTAACGTTTATGATTTGCAGCGCCTACTGTACATGACTAGTCTGGAATGGTTGTTTTTTTGAAACCCACTCCAAAAAGATAGATTGACAGCTGCCAGAAAACGGCCAACTGGCTGAGGACGTTAGAATGACCTCGTTCCATCGTTTCAGTTTAACGACATTGACACAATTTGCTCTATCCTCTCTTATTTGTTTGATGGAGTCGATAAATAAACCACATCAATAAAATGCCCATGTTATTATGATATAACTAGACTTGCCTACTCATACAGAAGGCATAATCAAAAATCCGTCCATCCTGGTAGGATTTCAACGAAGATTTGGAGAAGAGAAACCTCGGGTCAGTGATGATCCGTTTATTTTAAAATTAAATAAACAGAGCCTGCGGGCACACAAATAAAATTATTATCTTCTTGGTGCACTTAACCAAGCGCAAATATATTGGGGAAAATAACATAGATCGTTAAGCTTCGTGAGCGGTATAACCGAATCCGAGGCTCAGAGTGTGGGCGCTCTTTTTATTGCACAGGAAGAACGAGATTATTCAATAAAAAGAACTAAAATTTCTTCTTTTTCTTCTTGCCAAGGGGCCAGCCGTAATTACGGTAAGCCATTGCCGAAGCCACGTCATGGGCAATATAGTAGAGATTATCTATTGCTGGTGGATCAAGGATGTCAACAGGGCGAGGTATTGATACAGGAGTAGCTTGTGGTTTCTCCTTAGTTGCAGGATCTTTCGCCTTCTTTTTGTCGGAGTCCTTGTCGGCTGAATTTCCTTCGATAGGTTTCTCCTCCTTCGATCCACTTTTTTCCCCCTTTTTTCCTCCCTTTTTCGGTGGCTAAGCGAGGAAACAAATTCACGTGTGTTTGCGAAAAATGGAAATTGCTTTGCAAAAATAAAATATGGGCTGAATAAAAAAAATGTCCGCAAAAGTGTTCGAATTAGTTGTTCGTGTGTCCTGCCTGTGTGCAACTGAAGAGCTTTCGAAAACGCTATCTCCGCTCGGGCTGTGCTGAGACCTGAACAGTTTGGACGTTGTCCTTGCTTATCGTTTGCCCCGAATGCTAGGTTCTGGCAGAATAGCTCTTGTTCTACCATCTCCAGAAATATGCCCAACACCGTTTTAATCTACTAGTATATACTCAAAATATTATTTTCCAACAAGATGAATATCCCCATTCAGCAGGTGTCGTTCACTTTAGTTATGAGAAAGATATGGCGTTTGGCAGTCCGGTTTTGAGACAATACATAACCGCAAGTGAGAATGGCGAACGTATGTATTGGAAATAGTTACAAAAAAGATCCATTTCGGGTGTCATGCTGTTCTGCTCGGGGACTGCGATGGAATTGCAGTTACAATTAAAAAGGCAAAGTTATCCTCGGCTTCTCTTGTGCCTTCTAAAGTACTGATAACGTATGATGGATACCTAAAGTTCTCTAGTTGATTTGGAAAGTCACTTTCCTGTTAAATCTCTCCTGTCTGGTGAGCACTACTTAACCAAATTTCTGGCAAATTTCGTTCGACCGAGCAGGCTTTGTATATTAAAGAACATCATCTTCGTCGCCCAACTAATTCACAAATGTCTACCTCGATTATGACCGGCGTTAAGTTACTGGAGTGCTTCCTTTGATCGTATTATTATTCTTCCATCGCTCATTTTCTTTACTACTGTCCCCATTTTCCCCTATTTCCAGTTATATCGTGAGCTTATTCATTTTATTCCCTTCCAAGAGGGAAGGCTTTATATGCATTAATATATCTACCACTCTGCAGAACGGCATAAGAGTGTCTTCAGAACATACTGAAATCGCGCTCGACACTCTTTTGCAATCGAAGTGGACTTAGGGGCACTGTAATGGCCACTGATACCATTATCCTGCTCTGAGGAATGGCAAAGAATCCCCACAGTAATGTCGGATCAAAACTTATATTTTTATGTTGTCGAGTCTCAGGATTGAGTTTAACTAGAAGTGCGAAACCTCGGTTATGTATGGTAGTTCTGCCAATGGTCAGATTATTTTAAGTTTTTAACTCTCGCACGGCATTTTAACTAAGACGGCGATTCAGTGCACTGTATTTTTGTTTTCCAAGGAACAAAATGACGTCTATCAAGGCACAGTGTAAAGAAGAGTAGATTACCATTTTCTAACTTTCTAGCACATGATTCCTGCGAGAACTCATTATTCGTGGGTGGGATGTTGGTATGGCAACGTTTATGCTAAACTTTAAAACACCAGGCAGTTACGAAAATGAAAAAGTTTCTAAGTCTGCCTGAGTCCGTAAGGTAAGGAGCTTTCCTTAAAAAAGTTACTTTTGTTTTTTTCAGAAGTTCTACCAATGGAAAACACACTCCTGTTTGTGACTGTATAGAATTACTGGGTTAGGATGATATAGAGATGCGCACCTAATTTCCACTAACATATTATAAAAGTTCACCACGCTCTTATAAATACACTTTAGAACAATTAACAAGTTTGACCATGAGAGGGAATACTGGGACCGGACTGCATGCGAGTCAGTAGTTTCAACTGTTGTTTAGTCCGAGAATGCGTTGTGGCGAAAGATGGGGCCACATGGGCGAAACCATGTCTAAATATAAGTACTGTCTGCATATACGCTGTTCTGTTCATGTTCAGGAAAGTATATGCGAACAAGAAGAATAGAATTGTTGACGTCATGTGTAGTTTTTTATGAACGTATCTGTACTACGTTTTGTAAGTCGTTAGTTGAAACGGGAGGTATTCCAAGCGGCAGAAATATAGCAAGATATTGGCTTTCAGATGACAAGTAGGCCATGGTTTTCCACTAACTCCTGTAAGACAAATAAAGTCATAATGTTAATGATTTATGCAACCAAGGTGGCCTTCTCCGCTTTATGCGGGTACTGCTTTGCCGGCATGTTTGGAATATAAATAAGATCGTACTTTGAATACACGATCCAGGCCAGAAGACCGTCGATAAAATATGTTAACAACCTACTTATGATAGACTCAAATGAGAGCCATAAAACGATTTTAATATCAAGAGGTATTTTCACTAGATCTTTACACAAATTGACACAGAGCCTCCCATTAAGAACTTTGGACACTCTGAGGTCCAAAGTCGTCCCTATTCGTCTCCCTGGTTTTAAAAAATGCGCTCAGGTAGATTTCTCCCAAAATGCAAGATAAGAAAAATGACAAATCCTGCTCTCGTTACGGCGTCACAAATATGATCTCGGTGTGCAATGAAACTTCCTGGATCAGAATTAAAACCGGGGACTACGTAGCCTGGTCTTCCTGACATCACTTATTCTGCTGCCACTAGGTCAGTGAATAACTCCTGATATGGGGCGCAACGGGCCAGTTGGACTCGTATCGCTTCGAATCCTTCGAAGGGCCAGCTTTAATATTTGCGTCTTCAAACACCCCACGCAGATGGAGCATTTCACATGCACATTATTGATGGGGAAGGAAGATCGTACAAAGTCCAATCGAGAATGTAGCAGCAAATCAATAGTAATAGTAGAATTTGCTCGTTGTTATCATTCTAATCGCCTAACTACAAGGTGAGTTTTAAACAGGGTTAAGATTCATTACGGCCTCATAGAGCTATGTGCATGTTTGAAATCCATATTGGTTAAAATCGAGAGATACGTACACAAAAACCGCAAGGGAAGGGTCAGGAATATCTGCAAAAAACGTGAAAATCTTGCATAAGCAGGACCTACTACAGATAACAATGCTATGTCCGTTTAGTCAGTTTAAGTCAGTTTATTAAGGTAATGAGGCTTTCGTCCCTGAGTTCTCTATTCATATAGATAAGCAGAAATAAAACCATCAATTACATCAGCAAATGCGGAAATTCCCAAGTTATCGGTAAGTGCGAGCCAGGCGCAAACTGCCGCGCTAAAACAATCGTAATTATATGTACAGTAGTTTCTCAGAAAATGAACATCTAATGTACACTTAAATGCGTCGACAGTTTCGGAAAGAACCGCCGCATCAGGAAGTCCGTTCCATGCCCCAATGATCCAGTGAGAGAAGGCGTTCCGTCGGAAGTCTGAATGAGCGCGCTTCCTCTTCAGTTTGAAAGGTTGACCACACAGACGTTCAGTCCCGGTCATTTCGAAGAATTCATCAAAGTCAAGGACGCACTCAAGGCCTTTGACAATCCTGTAGGTTTGAATTAGATCGCCGCGCAGTTGCCTGTAACTGAGAGCAAACATATTTAGTTTGGTGAGCCGGGTTTCGTAAGGTAGATGATTAAGATTCTTGACCGTCTTCGTAGCCATCGCCTGTACTCTTTCCAGTGTTTCTTCGACCACGGTCGCCAGGCCTGGATTGCATACTCTAAGTGAGACCGGACGAATGTCCCAAAGGTTTGCCAGAACAGCTCTTTATTAATCTCTAAAATCCTCGCCTCGGCGCAAATAACACCCTTGTCTCACTTTTGGCTGCCCTTTGACACAATGATGATGATTTGAACGAGGAGGTCATTAGGACGCCGAGGTATTTCTGTCCCACAACATTTGAAAGGGGTTGCCCATCCGTGACGTATCGAAAGGAATCGCCCTCCTTACTGGTCCTCCTGGTGCGGAGTCTCAGGACCACACATTTTTTCACATTTAAGTTATGCAGCCAACGAGCTGACCAACTGTTCAGGCTGTTGAGACAAATACATGTTCAATTTGCTATTTTTGAGGGAAATAGGCTTACGTCTTTGGAGTCCCTCGTTATCACATACAAACCGGAAGGAGTGACAACAATGTAAGGAAATTACTGTGCCGAGTGGACGAAGATTTAGTCCTCCCTAAGTGAATGTGCTTTTAAGGTTGAGTAGTCACGTAATCCGCTTGTTGCTGCAGCATGTGTTTGTCAAAGCGACGTCTGAATGTCTCCATGGACTGAGACATCACAATCGCCATGGGCAAGTTATTAATTCGTTCCACTTTAGTCAGTAAAATTGTACTTTTGAGTAATTTGCACGTCAGGTGACATCAG